GACAGTTTTATGTTATTTGAACAACTGGTGTAGTGTTGTTGAAGTGGGCCTAGGGCTTAAAAGAGGCTGATACACGGGCGAATGGTATAGAGGGGGCCATATAGAGCCCTGCTCAAATATGGTCCGTAATTTTATTTTGCCAATGGGGTTGTTAATCATATAATAGATGGGGCGTATCCTCACGGTAATGCATTGAATTAAATATAACAATAGTCGGGGCTAAAGTTAAATACGTAATAAATCAATCGATAGAATTTGGGAGTTGAATCAGAGAGAAATCATATTTATATTTCATTTCTGACTTGTATTTACAGATTATTGGATAGTTAGTTCAGTTTTCTGTTTTATTTAATTTTTCTGTGTGTTCTTTATTACGTGTGCGTCATTGCTAAGACTTCGCTGTCCGTCCGTCCGTCTGTCACAAAGGTCTATCTTATGAACCGTTATAGCTATAGACAGTTGAAATATTTACAGATATGTATCTATGTTGCCGCTATAAGAACAAATATTAAAAACAGAATTAACTAAATGTTTATAAATAAAAAAGTACTTTCACTAAACATTATCTTTTAAGTAAGAATTTTACATAGAATCTTTCAAGTCCTCGGTGGCCACGTGGTTAAAGCGTTAGGACTTTACGCTGCTATTACGTTGGAGTCGTAGTAAGGCAGGTTCGAATCCTAGTCAAGGCGACTTATTTTAATCGTTTTTTTTTTTAATTTTTACATATTTATTTTTACTTTTTACATATCTATTATTGAATAATACAATTTTTAGTAATGTGTTTCTTCATTTTTTTTAAATTACTTATACGCGCATTCAAAAATTTCAGCTAAATCGGAAAAAAGTTTATAACAACAACAACAAACAACGCTTTATTGTACAAAAAGCCAAAACAGCTTCATCGACAAAGCACTCACAAACAACAAAATCACAAAAAAATACAAACAACAAAAAAATACACAATACAAATAATACAATTCAAAAAAATTTAAGTCTTTAAAATTACAAAAAGAATGTAACGTTTTTAGTTCGTTACATGTTCTTTTTAAATATAATATATGATGTCTGGCCTATCATCACCGGATTCCCTCTCGTTCAGGCCGGATAGTTTATTTGACGCGTAATTTTTACGTTCCCTAGTCGCCAACCCTGTTATCGTTCGACACAACCCTGTTACTATTCTGTGGAGGCGCGCGCTGTCAACATCGCTTCTGTCAACTCTCCGTGCTTAACCTCACTTTGTTTTGACTCTCTGTTGTATCCCAGCTTTTAGAAATGGTGATTATTTAAATCTTGCTGTATAATTTGAATCAGCTGCTATTTCGAGGCTACAGGTAAAGATGAGTTATTACCTTTTATAGATTCGATATTATTATTGAATATTTTTAGGGTAGAGTTACGGATGTCCCAACTTGTATTTGTGTTTTGCTGGCACGTTGGCGTCCCTTTTCTTTTGTCCTCAGAATGTCACATGGAAGAAAGGACATGTTGTTTATTATTTATTGAGCCCTCGGAAGTATTTCGAGGTAGGTTTATTTTGTTTATTAGACCTTGTTTGGTTTTAAACAAGAGTTTCATATTTTTAGGGTCCAAGGTAGGGACTATTTCCAAGGTACGGACTGTGTCCAAGGTACGGACTATTTCCAAGGTACGGACGGTGTCCAAGGTACGGGTAGTGTCTTATGTACAGACATTATCTTATATACAGATGTCCTGTGGACGAGTGTCCCCAGTAAGAACGATTTTTTCTTACATCTAAGTGCCACAGCGTGGATGTAGCTTGAGTCCCATGCTGCTTCACTCCCATTTCTAAGCCTAGTCAGTAGCTACGGCTGTAAGGATTCATGGTGTCCTCAATCTGGCCCCTTTTGTTGTTTTGACCAACAGGATCGCCGACAGACAGTACAGAGATGCTAGACCACCTCACGCTGCTACTGTTTGAAGCAAGGTTACATAAAAGAACAGCTAAGTGTATAATTAAGTTCTAGTTTTACATTTTAACATCTAAAACATTTTCAGTCTTAAACAGTAACGTACATTTTAAATAATATCGTACAGACTATATTTAGTGGTTACATTATTAAGAACATTTATGTCGATTCAGTAGTTACAATGTGATTTAGATTTTAGGTTTCATTATATTACGCCTTGTAATAGTATTACTTTCTATAGATATTATTATTGCGCTATATTAACAGATGAATAACGAGACATAGATTCTAGAATCTACAGATTGCAACACATCAGATTTAACACCGCATAAAATTTAACAATTTAAATAAAGTAATGTTACTTGTCTTATATTTTCTATAATGTTACACGCATTGTATTTTTTCATAGTCTTTTCATAGAACATATTTAATATTATTTACATACATAGTTTTACTCAATAAATAACCACTATAATAATTATTAAAATTGTACAATGCTATTTACCATCAGAATTCATCATGAATAAATATAGTCATTAGTTTTAAGTATTATACAACTGTGTTTTCTTTCTCTGTACATGCCTGGCGCCCAATATCTATTTTTTTGTTATTGTTCTTAATTAGTTTTCTTTCCAGTGAAATACCTTATCCACGACTGCTCTCCGATGAAAAGCTGCCGTTCGCAGTGGTAGTTGTTTAAAAAACGCTACAAGAATATACATGGACAATTTTAGAACAGTACGCAGTAAATAGATATAATTTTAGAGTTATAAAATATTAAATACTTGACCTTTGACCAGTGTGTGAGATGATCAAAATTTTAAAATTCAAAATTGTTCATAATTAAACATCAACAAAAAAGTCGTTTACCGCATATAGGGCTCTCTCCAGTAGGTATGATTTTAGAGCTTTGCGAGATGCGGGAAAGAATGAAGGCGACTTGATATTCAAAGGCAGATGATTGTACATCTTTTTGGCATTGTACAGTATTGAACCCTTAACTAGTTCTGAGCTCAGGGTTGGCAGATAAAGATCGTGCTCTGCATTCCTAAGTGGATAGTTATGAGATGGCCTTTCGGGAATAGCAGATATGTGCTTGCGGATTAAGCAAACGGATTCAAAAATGAATAAAGAAGGAAGAGTCAGTATTTTCAAATTTTTAAAGAAATTCTGGCAGTGAGTTCTACTGTTCAGTCCCAATAAATATCGAACTGCTCTCTTTTGAAGTCTGAAAACACGATCAAATTTTGTTGCGCAGCAAGTACCCCAGAATGGAAGGGCATAACGAAGATGTGACTCAAAAAGGGCATAATAGGCTATTCTAAAGGTTGAGAAATTAAGTTCCTTAGAAACTGAGCTTAGCGCAAAACAGGCAGCGCTTAGTTTCTTTGATAGAGCTTCGATGTGAAAGTCCCATTTTAACGAGTTGTCTACAACAAGTCCTAAGAATTTTACAGAGTCCACGACGTCAATAGTGGTGTTATTAAGTACAAAAGGTTGTATAGTACTTTTATATGACAAAACTTTAGTTTTTGATAGGTTGAGGCATAGGAGATTAGAATCGCACCAAAACTTAATGGTGCGTAAGTCACTGGATATAGTATCATATAGTGCCGCACATCTGGGCCACTCTAAAGTGAAACTAGTATCGTCCGCAAAGAGGCAGATTTTACGCTAATGTCTAGATTTGCAATGTCGTTGATAAACACCAGAAACAAAATAGGGTCAAGTACTGAACCCTGAGGGACACCACATTCTATAGGCTTACAAGAAGACATAGACGTATCAATCCTCACAAGCTGCCTTCTGTTGCCAAGATATGACTTAAGCCATTCGAGCGGCACTCCCCCGAAACCGTAGTATTGCAATTTATTAATTAAGATATTATGATTTACACAATCGAAAGCCTTAGAGAAATCACAGAAAATTGTAGCTGTAGAGTGATGGTTATTCAGGCTAGAGTATACATTATTAAAAAGGTCGAACATAGCATCATTTGTGCAACTGTTACTTAGAAATCCAAATTGATGGGTAGTAAGTATTTTATATTTGAGAAAAGATAGAAACCTTTTTATAACCAATCTTTCAATGATCTTAGATAATGTGGGCAGGTGTGCAATTGGGCGATAGTTCGAAGCTTCATCTTTATCACCTCCTTTATACAGAGGAATAATTATTGCTGTCTTAAGGCAGTATGGAAAAACTCCTTTTTGGAATGACTCGTTAATTAAAGTAGTAAGATGGTTTAATGTGCATTCAGGAAGTTCAGAGAACATTTTGAGAGTAAGCCCATCAGTCCCAGATGAGGATTTGTTTTTAATACTATTACAGTTGAGGGTTGGAACCTTTGGTGTTAAACAGCAAAATAAAATCACTAAATCACCACAATACACCAAAACACTTTTACTTTTACACTGGACGCGCGTTTCGCTAACCATGTTAGCATCATCAGCAGATGATTATAAACTCAGCAGTTTATAATCATCTAAAAGCAGTTTATAATCATCTGCTGATGATGCTAACATGGTTAGCGAAACGCGCGTCCAGTGTAAAAGTAAAAGTGTTTTGGTGTATTGTGGTGATTTAGTGTTTTTATTTTTTTGTTTAATACTATTAATTGTACTACGGAGCTCATCTAATGCTACGGGGGTGAAGAAGAAACTGTGTAAATTCTCATTTGCTTTAGGGAGATATGAAAGTGAATCATGAGAAGGAGTTATAGTGTTCACTAAATTTTTAGCCACATTAACAAAGTAAGTGTTTAAATCTTCAGGTGAATTAAAGACTGTGCCAGACGAAGAAGTCTTATTCCTTAAGTCATTTACAAGAGCCCAAGTCTCCTTAGCGACATTACCGGCTTTGGCTAGCCTCGCATTATAATAAATGTCCTTTGCAGCTTTTATAGTCTTACGATAAACCTTTCTTTAAAGTTTCACGTAATTATGAAAGAAGATAATATAGTGTCTAATGTTGTATAGATAATGAATGGTACGGAACCCTTCGTCCGACTCGCACTTGATCAATTTTTTCTACTAAATTTCTAATATTTTTATTTTTATATTTCAGATCGGTGCATAGACGTTTGAATGGACATTACCTGTCAACATGCCAGTATAAAAAACATTTATTTTAAAAAGTAAGTATTTATTGTTGTTATACACTACAGATTTTCTTAAAAAACAATAAAATAATTATTACATATACTGGGTGAGTCTAAAATAAGTGGAAAAATATCAGGCCTGGTAAATCTCGATAAAAGAAACATTTTTTCTCTTTACCTTTTTTCAAGTAAGTCCAAAATTGATTTATTGAGAGCCACCGGATTTTTTCTGTATTTGCATCCTTTTTAGTGCCGTAACTATGGTGATATTAGAAATTATAGCGTGGCAAAATTTATAGTGAACAGGCAGTTCTAAAAAGTTTTGCAAAATATACAGGAAAATTTAAAAGAAAAGATGTTGAACATCGTTTTTTTGCAAAAAAAATATCGATTATATCGATTTTTTAATATCGATATTTATTCACATCTCTAATATTTTTACAGAATATATTATTATGATTGAGGTACCTACATTGCCTATTACCTTAAAAGAATATATATTTAGATTAAAAAATCGATATCGATCTTTTTTTAATATCGATATTTATACACATCCCTAACTTTTTTTTTACTGAAATCATTTCTAAACGAGGTATATCTCCTGAAATTATTAACGCTCAGTTACACGGTAAATCGTCTCCATTACGTCGATTTATTAAAAGCAGCGAGCGAAATGCTGACTGAAAATATCTCCCTCCCGAACGTAAAATAATAATAAAAATAAAAACTGGAGACTTCAAAGAGTCGCAAAGGTAATAGTAAGTCAGGCGGTATCCAGTGCAAAGGCAGATTTCCAGAAAATTAGTGGAAAAGAAGAAATTTTGTCGTACAGTCGTCATAAAACAGGAGCTGTCTGAGTTTGAGAAATATGGCCGGCAGTTTGGAGGAAGTTTTATTTTCATTTTATAACTTCCTTTGGTTCAATAAAAACACTTAGGTAATTAGAAAAATGTTACTTCGATCTTTTGGAAATTTTCTAATTAGGAGAATGTATGAAAAACACTATTTTTTTATAATATTCTCTTTATAGAGTTTGTAGATTGTAGTTTTTTTTTTAATTTTCATAGTTTTAAAATAACTGGGATATTTGAAACTTATTTGAAAAAAGGTCGGTCAAGTTTGCCCCCCGTACTAGAGGAAATTCAAAAAGAGATATACCACTATTTTGCACACATTTTGCACAATTTTGCACACCATAAATGATATTTTGCACACTTACCTAAGAGAAACTAGAGCCGTTTTTTAAACGGGGGGCAAACTTGACCGTTCCCCCCCATTTGTTACGAAATTGATTTATTTCTATGTACATCGATTCGGCTAATTTTGCACAATTTTGCACACCTGTTTTTGAATTTTGCACCCTCCTGACGAAAGTTATAGGGTTGAAAGGGTGAAATTTCCCCATCTGTGACTAAATTGAATTTTCTTTATATCAAACAGAATAGGCTAATTTTGCACAATTTTGCACACCTGTTTTTGAATTTTGCACATTCTCCTGACTAAAGTTATGCGGGTTTGAAAATTTGCAATTTCCCTCCCATCTGCTACGAAATTGAATTTCGTTTATATCAAACGAATCGGTTAATTTTGCACAATTTTGCACACCTATTTTAGAATTTTGCACACCTTCCTAACTGAAAGTTATGAGGTTTTGAAAGTTTGCAATTTCCCCCCCATCTGCTACGAAATTGACTTTTGTTTATATCAAACGAATCGGCTAATTTTGCACAATTTTGCACAGCTTTTTCGAATTTTGCACACTCTCCTGACAAAAGTTATAAGGGTTTGAATATTTGAAATTTGTCCCATTGTGTGTGAATTGTCTCATTTAAAAAACATATAAGTATGAGTCATACTTGAAAATGACAGATCTCAGCGACGCGCCGTGGAAAACTGTACAGAACCCAGACTTCACCTTTTCGATAAGTTATAGGATAACCGAGATATAAGGGTTGTCGAAAAATGCAAAATTTTCAAATTTGCCAGGTATTTCAGGAAGTAAGAGGGCTAGGACAAATCTGTGTGTAGAATCTTTAGTTTCATAAATGTTCTTCTATGCAAGCTATAAATTATCGAAAAGGTGAAATCTAAGTTCCGTGCAGCTTTTCACGTCGCTAAGATCTATCATTTTCGAAATATGACTCATACTTATGTATTTTTAAGTGGGACATTTCACACACAATGGGACAAATTTCAAATATTCAAACTCTTATAACTTTTGTCAGGAGAAGTATTAAAGTTCGAAAATAACTGAAATGCAAACAGTACCAAATGATTCGTTTTGATATACACAAAATTCAATTTCGTGACAGATGGGGAAATTGCAAATTTTTCAAACCTTCATAACTTTAATCAGGATGGTGTGCAAAATTGTGCAAAAATTAACCGATTCGTCTGATATACACAAAATTCAATTTCGTGACAGATGGGGGAAATGCAAATTTTCAAACCTTCATAACTTTAATCAGGATGGTGTGCAAAATTCAAAAAACAGGTGTGCAAAATTGTGCAAAATTAGCCGATTCGTCTGATATACACAAATTCAATTTCGTGACAGATGGAAATTGCAAATTTTCAAACCTTCATAACTTTAATCAGGATGGTGTGCAAAATTCAAAAACAGGTGTGCAAAATTGTGCAAAATTAGCCGATTCGTCTGATATACACAAAATTCAATTTCGTGACAGATTGAAATTGCAAATTTTCAAACCTTCATAACTTTAATCAGGATGGTGTGCAAAATTCAAAAACAGGTGTGCAAAATTGTGCAAAATTAGCCGATTCGTTTGATATAAACAAAATTCAATTTAGTCACAGATGGGGGGGAAAATTTCAAATTTTCAACCGCTTATAACTAACTAACGTCAAAAGGGTGTGCAAAATTCAAAAACAGGTGTGCAAAAGTGTGCAAAATTAGCCGAATCGATGTACATAGAAATAAATCAATTTCTTAACAAGTGGGGGGGAACGGTCAAGTTTGCCCCCCGTTTAAAAAACGGCCCTGGTTTCTCTTAGGTAAGTGTGCAAAATATCATTTATGGTGTGCAAAATTGTGCAAAATGTGTGCAAAATAGTGGTATATTTATTTTTGAATTTCCTCTAATACGGGGGGCAAACTTGACTGACCTTTTGAAAAACGGTAAAGAAAAAACAACGGTCCTTTTATCGAGATTACCAGCCCTGAACATTTTTGCACTTATTTAAGACTCACCCTGTATAAACTTATTTATTCCTACGCCTACAAAACGAACAATACGACGAATTCAATAAATAATTCGAAAAAAGGATTTAACGTAGCCTAAACACGAGGAGAAATGGGATAAAAACCATGTAACTGATACACACCATCGGATTTCAGTAAAGGCTTTCCTCGTATAAACAAAACCCAGCCGAGAGTTTCGACTCATTTTTATGAACCTCTAAACAGAGATTCGATTACTTGACGGCTTGAAATCGATAAATTTGAGATAAGCATTTTGTTCCACGGTGTTTCCAATTCAATATTAGTGTTTATTTCGGAAAAAATATAGTTTTTTTTTTTTTTTTAAGAGATATCCATAACACAGTCTATAAGAACTGCCAAATAAATTAGTAGAAAAGAATTAATCTGGGATAGATTGAAGATTTTTAAAAAGAATACAGACTCAGAATATCTTTATTATAGATAGCTATGATTTTTATTTAGTGCCGAGTTTAGTGCTGACTGGTTGTGAAAAAAAATAATAGTTGTTCTTATGGCCCTGTATTTACTTATGAGCACCAGTCAAGGTAAAAGATAACTCTCAAATGAAGTTGTCATTTCACAAATTTATCTATTTAGTGCTTTATTATTATTATTAAAAACTTATACCTACATCGAAAATATTAGCCGTGAATTACACTACCCAAGAAAAAGTATTGATGATTAAATGGTATTGTCAAGGAAATAGTTATCAAAAGGTGTCGGACATGTTTGCTGCTCTGTATCCGAATAGACCGATACCTGGAAAATCTACAATCGCAAGGAATATCCAGAGATTTGAGACCAAATGTACCCTAATAAATAACTGCAGATGTGAAGCAAGGCAGGAACAAAGAGACGATGCAAGAGATGATACCGACTTGGAAGTTTTATTGTGCGTGGAAAAGAACGATGGAAAGATCAGCACAAAGGAAACTTGAGCGATGACAAATAGGAATAGATCACACTACAGCGTTTCCGAATTTTGAAACGACATAAATGCTATTCCTTCAAATATGAAAAGCACCAAGAGCTACGTTTGAGATGGGGACGAAATACGGCGGCAGGCGTTTTGTTTTGATATGATGGAAAGAGCAAACACGGATAGGGGATTTTTAAAAACATATGTTTTCACTGACGAATGCACGTTTACCTTAAATAATGAACTCAATGTTCAAAATTATCGATATTGGAACAAAGAAAACCAACACAGGTTTGTCGAAACAAGGATACAATATCCACAGAAAGTAAATGTTTGGGCAGGGATATTCGGACACAATATTATCGGGCCATTATTTCTTACGCGAAATTTAAATGCAGAATATTATTTGGAACTACTCGAAAATCATATTTTACCTGCTTTACATGATGCCGGTAGGGAAAATCAGGAAGTTTGGTACCGAATGGATGGCTGCCCGGCACATAGTACCTTAGCTGTTCGCGAATATTTAGACAACAGTTTTAACGGAAACGTTATTGGCCTAGTATTACAGTAAATTGGCCAGCAAGGTCTCCTGATATTTCGCCAAATGATTTCTTTCTCTGGGGCCATTTAAAAAACAGGATATACAAGGATAAAAAATACTCAAATCTAGACGAGTTAAAAAATGCTATTTCTGCCGAATGCAATAGAATTTCAGTTTACCAACTAGCGAATGTAAGAAGATAATTTTATGATCGCCTGGGTTATTGTCTAGCAGTCGATGGAGGAATATTTGAACATCTTCTTCAATCCTAAAGTTCTAACAATTTAATAGTACCTAAATTAATAAGTTATTGAATACTGTAGTAATACTATAATAATTAACCTTGTAAT